AAAAAAAAAAAAAAAAAGACACGTGTATATGGGAAGATCGGCAAAAATTAAGTTAAATATCCTACCGAAAGTAAAATAAATAGGTTGATATAATTTAATATATTGCCAACCTTACATATAGTTGAATAAACAGCACGAGCCAGTTCAACCCAACACGGTTAATTAGTTGTACAACGGTTAGTCAGCATATAATCAAAGCAATAATGCTAAGGAGCCAACTGTTTGCTCCGTTACGGAGCCAACAACCAATAAGACAAGTCCATGTGATATTGTCTCACATGGCTCCAATGTGGGACAGCCCCACATGGAGGTGTCCCATTGGTTGTTGGCTCCGTAACGGAGCCAACAGTTGACTCCTTAACATTACTGATAATCAAAGATAGGGCCCTAGCCGCCTAGTCAAAAAAAAATTTCACCCAGAGATATAAAATTATAATTACTAATGTTATTTGAATCGAGTTGTCCCATTACATAGTTTTGTTTGATATGTAAAACTTCAGGCTCGACTAGCTTGTATATTTGCACGAGCTCAGATCAAACAACTAATTGAGTTTGTCTATCAAACAAGCCGACTCCAGAGTGTCAATCAATGACGGATCTAGAAATTTTACTCGGGGGACATTTTAGATGTTAAATAACGAGCTTGTAATTTATGTCGAGACACTCTTTTTTATATAAAAATGTGCTAACATATAAATATAAATATAGATATGTGAAATATGTGTACCATCGAGTTTTAAAAAACTAAAAATCCATATCACCCACAAATTTTTGAAAAAATAACAAAAAAATAATAAGATTTCATGTATCTATAATTTAAGTTCAACATCTATAGTTTATGGAATAAGTTTTTTGGTTGAAATTTTGATTAAATTGAACTTTTACAGGTATAACATTTTTGTTGACGAGAGCTTATCAAATGACCATATTTTTAAGAAAAAATAAATAAAGTTTAAAAGATGTGATTACTCACACAAAAAAAGGTAAAAACCAACATTCAAAATTCTAATAATCCAACTAAATATTGAGTTTTATAAATCACTAAATCAGTTACAATCAGGGGCGTAGACAGGGCTGGGCTCACCTGGGCTCCAGCCAGGTATTATTATTTTTTTTTTTTTGGTATAAATATGTAGTAGTAAAAAAAGTAATTTTAGCCCATGTTTTATGAATTTAATTCATGATAAAATTATTTAGTTCATATTAATTTAAATTTATTTTATATTAAACCAACAAATTATACATATTTTTGTACATGAATCAAACTTTTCATATGCATTTTTTGTTGTTAAATATAGCTTACTTTGTCATTTCTTCTTCTTTGTTTTCACCTTTTGATGTTTGATTTAAGACACAAAAATATATATTATTTACATTACTTTATATGTAAAATATATCAATTACTTGTTAACTTTTAAATAAATGCTATTTGAAAATGTGAAATATATAATTTAATTTCATTAATGTGCGTAGCATATTCAATGAAACAACATTAAAGTTGCACAACTTAAGTGAAATATCATATAACAAGTATGTTGGGTTAACCTGTCGATTCAAAAAAAATGACATTTAGACTTCCACAATTTAAGTGAAATATCATATAACAAGTGTGTTGGGTTGACATGCCTAATAAACTGTCCATCTCATAGTAGTATTTACACTAAGTTATATTAGTTTTATAAGTCAACTTTAAGTAAACAAGAAGAAATTATGCGACAGTAATTTTTTGAAAAAAAAATACTATACGTCAAAAGAAATGTACAATTTTTTTGAAATGCAATCGATCTCCGTATAGATACGCCTAAAAAATAACATAATGTATTTTAATTTACTACAAAAACATGACATATTTTAATAATTTATTTTTCATTTATTTTATAATTTACATTAAACACTTAAATGTCATACTTTGAATTTTTAAAAATAAGAGTAGTGATATTATTGAAGACCGATTGAGTCGAATATGTCATGTTCGAAATTGCGCTCGTTTAATAAATGATCATGTTTGGTTCGGATCATTTAATACATCCAGTGTAATCAATTAAGCTACACTCATTAAATTAAATTTCAATTTTATGTTTTATTATATGAATAAGTTGAGATTGACTTTTTAACGAGCTGAACTGAGTGGTACTCCTTAACGATTCGGTTAGCAGCCCAGATCAAAATTATTTCTGGCTATGCCCCTGGTTACAATTAAGAGGCCGAAAAAATAATCATTAAAAATATTCTAAAAGACTTATCTAGAAATATAAAATATAAGGATTGTTAAATATTTTTTAATAAATAAATATTTTTTTAATTTAAAGTAAAATAGCATGAAAACTAAGTTTTAATTCTTCATGTATTTTAAATATTTTTTTTTTCATTTTATCCATATTTTGTAATGTTTTCTTTATATATATATATATATATATATATATATAATGAATTAAAAAAAATCAGTAGAGACCACGGGCCCTGTGGAGCTAATGTAGATCCGTCTCGTGGTAGTGATCAACTCGGTAAGAGTTTTAAGTTTCTGTCTATGCTGTAAGGTTTATGAAATGATTCGATGACATTAGTAATTTTTACATGCATTTTACAATGATTTTAGTTTCTGTTTCGTCTTGATATATATCTTTTGTTTGTTGTAGTTACTTTTATTAAGTGATGACGAGGTGTTTTATTTGTGTTTTAATAGAAAATGGGATCGGAATAATTAATGGGGCGGAACGAAGAGAATCGGTCAAAGAATGTGTAATTCTATTTGTTGGAAGAGGCCCAAAAGATAATTACGTGGCGACCCATTTTATTTGATCTAGTTTAAGGCAAAAAGACATAAGTAACCATCTATTAAAAGCTATTTCTATAAATAAAACTGATTTGAGAGAATTCCAAAATTGTCTCATTCATTCCAAAACATAAAATATAATAACTACTATAATGAGAAGTTAAAAACAATTAATTCAAAAAATGAATTAATAAATAACTGCTATCTCTCATCCTTTTCTTTCATGTCTCTTCTTTATCTCTCCTCCGTCTCTTTTCATGTTTCTCATTTTTCTTCCCTTTTCTTCTTCCACGTTTTCACTTTCTTCTACCCTTTTCTTCTTCTTCAAAAATAAAAATGCCTAAACAATTGCAAAAAAATAATTGATCAAAAAAATATACATACAAATTTTATTTCAAAAGTAGGCAGTTGATTGGGCAACGAAAAAAAAAACAACACATCTTAACATGTCCATGAACCATGTATGTGAACCAGAGGAAAATAACAAATAATAATAATAATAATAATAATAATAATAATAATAATAATAATAATAATAATAATAATAATAATAATAATAATAATAATAATAATAATAACCAGTTTTTGTGAAACAACGACAAAAAAATAATATAATACCTCTAAAAAAACATAAAAACAACAAGAAATAAACATAAGTTCAATCACATACATATAAAAAAACATAAAAACAACAAGAAATCTACATGAGTTGAATCACAATTTCGGTCTTGTAAAAATAAACATATTTTCACACAACATCTACAAAATAACACGAAAGCATTTTTTCTGATGTAATTACAGAATTATCCACATGCATATAAATA